AATCACCCTGGTATGTTTTGTAAACTATATTGCTGACACATTTTCCCTTCCTGCCTTCTCCCTATAAAGTTGTGTGAAATTTTTCAAATAATGAGAGCAAGATAAGATTATAGACTTGATCTCATTCTTTGTGTATCCTTGTCTCCACTTCATTCTTTTCACCCCTCCATAGGAACTCGTTGAACTCCTGCTGGACAGGACATACAAAGCTAAAGAGAGAATTTTCAACAGAGGAATTGCTAATGCTGAGAAGCACTTAAGGAAGTGCTCATCATTAATCATAAAGGAAACTCAAATCCAAATGACTCTGAGATGCCATATTACACCTCACATGATAGCACATGTGGGTGAGGAGATGGAGAAAGGGGAACACTCCTCCATTGCTGGTGGGAATGGAAACTTTTACAGCCACTTTGGAAATCAATCTGGCACTTTCTCAGAAAATTTGGAATAGCTCTATCTCAAAACCCAACTATACCACTCCTGGAAATATACCCAAAGATGCTCAACCTTAAAAGGACATTTGCTCAACTATGTTCATAGCAGTTTTATTTGTAATATCCAGAAACTGGAAACAACCTAGATATCCCTTAACCAAAGTATGGACAAAGAAACTGGGGTACATTTACACAACAGAATACTACTCAGCTATTAAAACCAGGAAATCATGAAATTTGTAGGCAAGTGGATAGAACTACAAAAGATCATCCAGAATGAGGTAACCCAGACCCAGAGAAAAACTCATGTGATGTAGTTCTTTCAGTGGGAGCCTGGGTAATTGTTTTTCATTCAGTGGGGTTGTTGGGAGCTTGGGTGGTCCCTGAGACAGGGCTGTTGTTTGATGTTCCTTATTCTGCAGCTGCCAGGTGTAGTCCAGTGTCTGCTAGTTTCTGCTGGTATGAATGCCATGCTGGAAACCCATGCTTTGGGAGGAGAATGAAATCAAGGTTTCTGGGTCTCTCAGGAACAACTGGGTGCTTTGGGATCAGGCCCCTGAACTAAGAGATGCTCCAGGTATCACTGGAGAAGATAGCAATAAGTTTTCTACTGGGATATAGCACTGAAGTTACAGTTAGCTCTTTTGAATGAGATTGTCGGTATCAGATAGCAGTAGAAAATTGGGAGCTCAGAAAGCAGGTGATGATACAATAGTGTTACAGTTCTTTAGCTAAGCCAGTGTATTAATGGTGTGTGGGTAGGAGGGAGATGAGTGGGCTAATGCCTTTGCCTGGTCTGTTTGTACTCGAAACATAGGCATGGCAAGGATCAGGCCTGGCGGTTGGAAGGTCATCCCAGTGAGGTGCAGGCCCCCAAGCTGGAAGGCAGGTAAAGGCCCTGCAGGTGTTTTACTGGAGGTCAACAAAGCTCATGGAAATCAGGCAATCTCTAGCCAGCCTGGATGGCAACCAAGCCAGGAGAGTTCAACCAGAAATGTCCAGAATTCTTCCAGACTTGCAATGAAAAGCTGGTACCAATACTCTCCAACTATTCCATAAAATAAAGAGGAATCTCAAGCAGCCATGGTGGAAAGCTGATAGTATCACACAGCTCGAAGCACCTTTATTTTGTGTGAAATCAGGAATTTTTAAACCTTGGGCAGTGGGAGAGGGTTTGAGGGTTAATGTGTTTGATTCAATGGGGTTAGAAGTGCTAGGGATACCTGATTAACATGTAGTGCTACAATACTTCATTTACATGCGGTAGCCACGTGATCTTTCTTGTGGTCCTATCACAAGAAGGAGAACATAGTACTTCATTATCCTATGGGTGAGGGAAAATCTCCAGGTAAAGCTGAAGGTCATTTGCTTAAAGCTAAGATCTCCTTAGAATAGGGTGTGGTATTTCAAGGAATTTCCTGGTGCTTATGGAACAGGTTTCTTATCAGGAAAGGTACAGACCTGTAATTTTCCATGATGGCTAGATGATGCTCCTTAGATGTGTTAGGGTTCAGGTAGAGAGGGAAACCCAACTGAAAAAGAGATTTCACCATTATAGAATGAGCTCAGAAGCTATACAGAAATGTCAGACTTCAACCATAACCAACAGAATCCCACAATGGCATCTACTAGCTTATAAGAAGATATTAGCCATATAATACAGGATAACTGTATTACAATTCACAGACCCAAAGAAGCTAAGTAACAAGGAGGGCCCAAAGGAGAATGCTCAAATCTCACTCAGAAGGAGAAATAAATAATCAGCAGAAGTGGTTAAAAAGAGGGACCAGGAAAGGAGAGGGAACACTGATAGAAATTAAGGTTGGGAACAGATATGGGGAAAGCAGGCTCAGAAAGACAGAGGCCTTGGAGAGAGAGAAGAAACCATGAGTATGGGCATCTCTTAGACAAGTTGGAGACCTGAAACACAGTGGGCACTGAGAGGCTATGTAGGTGACCCAGCTGAGACTCCTGGTGGTGGAGTCATGGATACTGGAGAGGCCACCCTCCATTCAGACAGGACTCCCAGTGGAGGGAAGGGAACATTAACCTTCCACAAAAACTTCTACCAAGAATTTATCTTGTATAAGGGATGTACAGGGATAAAGATGGAAAAGAGATTGAGGAAATGTACAACCAATGCCTTGACCAAGCTGAGATCCACTCCATGGTAAAGAGCCAATGCCTGACACTATTGATGAGGACTGTATTTGTAGACAGAAGACTGGCATGGCTGTCTTCGGAGAGGCTCTGCTCAACAACAGAACAGAATAGAACAGAAATTGATGCTCACAATGAAATATTGTGCAGAGTAGAGAACCTTGTGGAAGAATGGGGGGGCAGAGGGGACAGGAGCACCACAAGAAGATCAACAGTCCCAACTATCCTGATGCCTGCAGACATTGAAGCACCCATCAATGAATGTTCATGGACTAGACCTATGCCCTCTTCATATATGATATTATATCCAATGGGCAGCTTAGCCTCAATGTGGGCCCCCTAGAAAAGGATCAGGGGCTGTCTTTGATATGGTCTTTGTTGCATGCTTTTCGATTAGATCATTTCACCCTGGCATGGCTGCCTTTTCACTGTGAAACAGTAAGTACACAGTCTTGATTCAATTGAATGTGCTGGGGTGGCTTTGTGGGAGGCTCTGTTTTTCAGCAAGGCGTAGGAGGAGGGATAAGGAGATGAGGGAGGGGTGAAGGAGAGGGACTAGAAGGAGAGTAGGGAAGGGGCTAAGATTGAGATGTAAAGTGAGTAACTAATTTTGAACTAGAGAGAGAGAGAAGAGATGAGAGACTGGATGACAAAGTTAAATCTCCCAGGAAGTACCAAGGAGAGGAGAAGACTTGCAGTTAGAGAAACAAGATGGCAAGATAGGAGTGAAAATGACGATACCAGTGCTTGAACTGCAGGAGAAGAAGGAGGAGGGAAGGAAGGGAGAGATTGTCAAGGAGAAACCAGTAAAAGAAACTTAGCAAAACGTCCTAACCTAAGGCACTTGGTTGAGGTGTCAACAGACTTACACAATTTGTCATCCAGATTGTGGAGATAAAAAAGGAAGTGTTCGCAGAAGTTAGAATACTAATTCTCATTCCAAAACTCATGAAGTTTGAGATAATGTCTTCACAGTCTACTGGGCATTTTTTTCTCTATTGCATGAAGTGTGTGTGGAGTAACAGGAAAGCAGAGGGCAGGCTGCTCCTCCAGTAAATATTTAGTAGCAGGTAAAAGAAAAGTAGTTGTAGTGGCTCATACTTGTAGCACCAACAGCTGTAAAGCTGAAGCAGGAGAATCACAAGAGCCTGAGGCGAGTCTTAGTTACATATTAAATTCCAGATAACAGTAAGCTACATAGCAGGACCCTATCTCCAAAAGTAAAGAAAAGCAGGACTGAAGAGATGGCTCAGCAGTGAAAGGCACTTGTTGCTCTTGAAGAGGACACAGATTCATTTCCTAAGACCAACATAATGGCTGACATTCATCTGTAATTCCAGGTTCAGGGGATCCAACACCGTCTTCTGATCTCTGTGTGCACCAGACACAGACATGGTGCATACACATAGACACATGAATGCACAACTACACACATACTCTCTCTCTCTTGCTCTATCTCTCTCTCTCATTAGATGAAAGATCTTTTTTAAAAAAGTAAAGAAAAGAAGAAAGAAATAACAAAAAAAAGAGGAAGGGAAAGAAGTAGATGAGGAAAAGAAGTAAGACAAATTCATAATGAAAAACACAGGACATAGTACAGAGCTGACTTAAAAATTTGCTGTTGATAAACAGCAGAAGCACAGCAGAAAATAGTAAGAGGCAGCCTCAGGACAACAGCAAAGCCGCTGGCCTTTGTTGAGGGATGTCACTCTGCCACCAATGAGGGAATTGTGAAATAACGAGAGACATAAAGAAATTTCATCAAATAGAAAAAGAAATGAACTTAGTATTAAATCTATATAAAATTGAATCTATAAAAAAGAATAGCATGATGGAAGCCATTTTTATACTCATGCTAATGTAAATAGTACATTTTATATATATTTTGACACAGACAAGACATGCAGGCAAAAAGAACTGTAAATTGTTCCCAGAAAGCAGGAAAGGGAGTAAGAGATAACTCAACATAATTTCTCATTGCTTACAGTTTTCTGTGAATGTTAATTTGGTAAACATGAAAAGAAAACCAGCCTTGACATTGTTCTATCTCTTGGTGATCCACAATTATGTCAAATTGTGGACCCCTTATAACAAAAGTATCAATAGCCCTGATGAAGGAAACAGTAGAAGGGTTGGCAGATGCAGAGAATCCATTCATGTGTCTTAGCTTCATGAAAGTGGTGTCTCAAGTCCCCCGCTCACAAATGGACTGGATGGGATTTTGAATATACCCAAGGCCACAAGATTCACAAATCATATTGGCAGACTGGAGGGCACATCTTCTTTCCTTGTTAGTCTTCTGTACTTTGGGGGAGCATTGCTCCTCCCAGAGAAGAAGTCTGAGCCTCATTTCCTGTAGGTGAAAGTTGACCTAAAACATCAAGGACTGGAATGAATACTCACCTTCCCATAAGAAAATGAGGTAGTGATATTATGAAACACCCTAGGCCCATAGTTGCACATCCAACACCAATCATGATAGGTCTGTGAAGTTTTGTCCCGAAATAACTCACAAATATAATCAAAAAAAGGTTTCCTAGGGAAAAGGGGAGATGAAAACAGTTGTTTCAATAAAGTGTTAGCAGCTCTTAGTCAATAACCTCTTCAGCATTTGGACTCAGGAGTTCATTGTTTAACAACTACCTTAATACAGGTAGTTGGGTGCATAGGAGATTTGTATATCATCTTAATATGTAAAGCAATTGTGACCCCGAAGGAACGTTCTCTTCCATTCTGGAGAATATTAAAAATTCTATTCAGGATTATCTTGCTTTAGGGATTGGATACAAAAGCAGGTGTCAGCCAGACCTCTTCTCTCATGACTACTATATGCAGAATGAAATGGGTTCATTTTTTTATAACTTACTGTTTAAAAACATGTTTATTGGTCAACATGGCCCAGTTGGGTGTCTGCTTCTATTGTCACTTCTCTCCTATACTAGATAATGCTGTTAACCAGAGATATGGTAAAAGTCCTAACTTACCAACTGGGTCATAGGTCTAGACTGTAGGAGTCAAACCAAAATGTCACCTTTTTGTTTTAGTAGAAATTCATTGGGAAGCTCTGCTCTGACAGAGCAGTCTTTGACAAACATGTTTGAATAAGACGCTGAAAGAATAAGATGGGCCTGTCAGCACAGACCTTGTCATCCCCAACTACTGAGAGGCCAAGAAAGGGAGACTACAAGGTCCAAGTTAGCCTGGGATACAGAGTGAGTTAGCCTGGGTTCCTCATAAATAAATAAATAAATAAATAAATAAATAAATAAATAAATTAAAAAAAAAATAAGCAGGCTAGGGATAGAGTAGGAGAATGCTTGACTAATGTGTATGAGGACCCAGGTTCAACAACCAGCACTATTCACACAGAAAAGGAGTTGAAAAAAACCAAATAAATAAGTGAGTGCTCTACAAACCATATATTTTTAGTTCGATGTAAATATTTGCCCTGTTGATAATTCAAATAAAAGAAAGATCATAAAAATCAATCATTGTTTCTTGATGACTTAAATAATCTTAACTTTTTGAAGAGTAGCTGAAGACTTTGTTTTTCTTCCTTTCTTGTCTATCTAAGTAGAATAATATGGTGTTCTTTTTAATGGCTTATATCCCATCTCTATATTATTATTATCTCTATTGCAGACTGTCTCTGCTTCCAAAGATCTTGTAATCTAGGCATAATGCAAGATACTCAGTTTTGATCTCTCTGTAGATCTTTCTAGTTTATGGCTGCGCCAACGGCACCCCGTCCCCACCCTGAATGCACAAGATCATGTCTGAAATGTTTATTGAATGGAAAAACATTTTCTTCTCACATTAGTGTGAGTTAATGTTTTACATTGACTTGTGTTTCTCAAATAATAAGTTGGAGGGCCTGGTGAGAGAGGTAAGAAGTCCAAGTTAGTAAGAGATTGCTTGCAAAACTATTGGTGAAATGCTTGCCAAATGCTGCTTCCACTGGCCAGTGTGGATTCCCTCCTCTCACAACAATATCTGCTTAAGACATACCCTTAGTCACCTTCCACAGTCAGTGGTGGTAGGAAGACATAATATTTTTTACTTTAAACAGGAATTTCTAACCTTTAGTTTAAAAGCCATGGAATTCAGAGAAATTAGAGGTTTTTGTGAACTTGAGTGATAATTGTTTTCAGTAATCATTAACTGTGCATTAGCATTTCTGTCCAAGGTAAAGTAAGAAGCAGTAGTTACTTGAGCAGCCATCATTTGGTTACCAATAGAAGTATAAATGATGGCTTATAACATCATGGTTGTTTTAATACTGCAAAATGTCATGGAGTCAATAATTACTTGAAAATCAGACCTAGTTAATATATACCTTGTTAAAAAGCACAAATATTTCTTCCTGACAGGCTGTTTGGATGTTCTGAAAATTTTATTTCAGTGGCTTCCTTTTAATCTATACAGTTTAATTTTTTGCAAGTAAAATATTATCCTGAAATCAGATGTCATTAGGTTTTCAATAAGAGTCCTAAACACAGAAAGATCAATGTTCTCTTCCAAACCCACACGGGATCTTGGTCACTGAGAGATAAAAGACATACTCCAGACCAAGCCACAGTCTCTACCCATTTCTCCTCTGTGCATATTTCTCCAGGCTTATGTTCTAACATCTTCCAAATTTCCATAAAACTGAGATGACTCCATCCTCACACAAAATCTTTGTGCTTCACCCTCTGTATAAATCCCTTCACATTAACCTGTCAATTTCTCTGCCTGGAAAAGCTTTTCTCCTTCAGGACCGCACTTGCTGCTTCTCGCACATAGAGCAGGAGCAGAATCTGTGTGAAGTTTGTGTAAGGCATTTATCCTGCCTCCACTGAAGGTCTAGGACACAGGTGCAATAGTAAGTTCCAGGACAGAGCATCCTCAGTATGGGTGGGCTTCTTCTCAATCCCAATTTTCTTTACTGTTTTGATTAAGTACATTAAAGACAATTTCACAATGAAGAAGGTAAAGACTATGACTGAACTAGTGAAGAGAGGCACCAAGACTTCCAGGTCTTTTGTTTATAAAGGAAATCTTTCCCTCCTTCACCCTTTGAGCTCTTATATCCCAGTTCATCATCCAAAAGCAGGGGTTGAAGTTCATCCATTCTTTTTAGAAATTGTGTCTGACCCAACTCAGACACAGGAAAGCTTCTTCATTAGTGACTAGGAGTGGAGAGCTGTCAATGTCGCAGACACAGAAGGGGAATAGAAACATTTGGAACACAATTTCCTCTAGGCTCCCACATCAACATTCTAAAAAGCCAAGGAAAAGCGCTTAGCTTCTCTTTGAGTGATCAAATAACAGAATTAGATAGTAATACTCTAAATCTTTTGACACTTCTCAGAGAAAAGGGACTGTGTCAGCATATATGACAACACTTAGGGATTATCATGAGAATATACAAATAAGTGGTTTCTTCACATCAAACACCAGGAAGTATGTAACTCACAAGATCAAACAGTCTACTGCAGGAAATGAGAAAATATCAATATATAAATGTAAGTACGTGTAAAAATAGCTCACCAATCTCAAAGCTCCCACTGATAAATCCAACTAAAGATGCAGGAATATCAAATTGTCTCTCGATTTGTGTGAGCATGGAACCCATATAAGCTCCCGATAGTGCTTTGGATAGATATGCCCATGTTAATGCCATCAGAAACATCTAGTAAGAAAAAAAAAATGTTAAGAAGAAAAAAATGAGAACTTTGTTTTCTGATTATGTATATGTTTTCTACTGACCAAATAGCCTCTACCATGAGGAGCTGAATTGTATCCAAGATAAACAGCCCTTGAATATGCAAGAAACTTTAAAGTGGGAACTCTCTGCTGTCTATCATTATCCTCATTCTGGACATGTAGTTAGAATAGTTGGTTAGCAGTGATGAATTCTGTAGATAGTTCTGGCTTTGCTCTCTTATTGGTACACCTCAATCATACATAGAAACATGGAATTGTTCCATGTAAGACACAGCTATTAATGATTCATTTGGCATTATACTCTTACATGCAGAACAAAACTTGTCTTCTTTAAGAAAGGGAAAGGACAGAACACAGAACTACACCAAGCCATTGTTCCTGCAGCAGGCCTACTGTGCTCTCTTTCTAGGAATGACAGGTCTCTGGATGTCCGTGGCCAGTGCAACATTTATTCCTGTCTTTCTGCATTCTTGGGCACACACTATAGGCAATGGCCACAGCAAAGTGACCTCTGCATGTTTTTTTTTTGTTTGTTTTCTTTGTGGTGCAATATTTTTTGTGATACTTTATCTCAGCAGTCCAAGTGGTGTTTATGGCATAAAAACTCAGGGAAGAACATTTTTGGGGTCCTTCAGGTGCAGGATAAAATATAGCTTTGTACTGATAAGACTCTTCACTAATGACCTGTGACTATAAATATCTCACTTTGAGTGATGTAGTGAATAAGATTTCTGTTTCTCTCAATGTATCTTCCAGCAGTTGGTTGATGGCAAATGTCATCATCTCAGCTTCTAGAACTTCTGTACTATCTCATACAGAAAAATATGCAAATTATACTGTGAGATTACTATTTCCTGCTTGTAAACTTATTGTCACAAGTACCAATTAACTTGAATAAACCAGAAGAAAAACATATGCAAAAGGAAAAGAAGATAAAACAAAAGAAAGAAAGAAAGAAAGAAAGAAAGAAAGAAAGAAAGAAAGAAAGGAAAGAAGGAAGGAAGAAAGGAAGGGAGGAAGGAAGGAAGAAGAAAGAAAGAAAGAAAGAAAGAAAAGAAAGAAAGAAAGAAAGAAAGAAAGAAAGAAAGAAAGAAAGAAA